CCTGCAGTTGCGTTAGGGATCACTACGCTAAAGGGAATACAATACAATACAGCTTTATTTATATAGAGCAGGGATGCCCAAAGTAGTTTGACTGAAGATCTACTTTTCGATCAACCAACCTTCCGCGATCGACCCGTTACCGCGCGCACGTACACACGCATGCCATGATGAGCAATAGCCTGACGCTGAGGCATGTGACACACTTTTGCAGCCTGTTAACGATCGTACCTCACGCGTACCATTTTAAAATGCTTCTCTCGGCCCTCCAGATTCCCATTGTTTGCCTGTCCCCTCGGTGAATTGTACAAAACAGACTTTGAATGAGAATTTGCTCTGGAGCAAATTTTTAAACCACCTCCCTGAGGTGGATCAAATTTGGTCCGGTATAAGCTCTTTAGTGGAGCTACGCCGGAGCAAATGTGCACGTGTGAATGCTCGACTGGATTTATTTCGGAGCTGCGTCGGACCAAACGTTGCCGTGTGAACGGGGCTTATGATTACGATAAAAGATATAGTGCAACAACTCTGATCACAAGCTGCAACTGCAGACTGCTGAGTGCTAACAACTTCTGGTGACGCAGTCTCACGTCAGCGTTGGTTAAAGATGACCTGCTTTACTGTATTTTCTTTTTAAAATACTTTTTGTGAAAGTGAGACTGATAGAATGATTAGGGTGCAGTGTGCATTAACACAAAAAATATATGACTAACATGCACAGAGAAACAAACGTTTTGTTTTTTTCCCCTCTACACACCTCGGATCGACTTGGGAGCAATTCTTGATCTACTGGTCGATCGCGATCGACGTAATGGGCACCCCTGATCGAGAGCCTTCACAACCGCTGCAGCTGTAACAAAGCACTTCACAGAACATTTAAAACACTACATCCAAGAAATCAGAATATTGGGGATCTAAATAAATCGTAGTCATTTTACTTTTCACCTTAACTGTTGAGAGGAATATGTCGTAAATACTAGACTCTGGGTTTATGCTGTACATTACTACAGACGCACACCTTTTAGGTGTGACAACATAATTTTAACCGAAATTTGCAACAGTGATGGCCATAAAAAGGATTTATACGCCTTGTATTACATTGTTGTCAAGCATTTTTCTTCCTACACTTGAACACAATTTTACTTGTCATCTTGACTCCATTTATGAAAGTTTTCTCAAAGCGCTATGTGGAATAAGTCCAGAAGAAGGGTGGGCAATTACGGTCCTCGAAGGCCAGTATCCTGGCTGTTTTTTTATGTCTCCCTGCTCCAACACACCGGATATATGTAAAACAACCCATGGTATAGTGGCCCTTGAGGACCGGAGTTGCCCACCTCTGGTCTAGAAGCATGCTCCTCACAAGTTAACACACATTTTCACAGGAAAACTACGTGAACACCACATGAGCAAGCACTTCACCAGTCAGCGAAGCAACAAGAAAGTGCTTGCTGTTGAGTGTTCTTCTCACTGCATCTATAGAACTTACACCGTACTGATAACTCAAATATAATCTACAGAGTTGTCTGCTTAGTGAGAATGGAGTGGGCTAAGATCATGTCAAACAATATGCCAAGGCTAAGGAGCCATTATTTGGAGAAAATGGAAGAACTTAATGAATTCAACCCTCATCAACAAACACCCACCACTGGAATCTACTGCCGCCATCCGAATGTCAAAATGTATTCATGTTTCATCTTTATTTTTATGATTCTCTTCATTCAACCTGCTTTGTAGGAAATACTACTGTACTCAGAACTGTCAAAAGTCCCATCATGAGAAATTATTCCTGTTTTTAAAAGAAAACTGCAATATGGCTCTGTGACTCCCGCCATGTTGTCTTGTTAACAATGTTGCGAAAACACTGAAAAAACAAACAAACAAAAAAAAAAACAGCCCAGGCCCTCATACCGGTTTGAGTTGGAACTGGAAGTTCAGTGATAAATTGTTGCTTGCCAAGAACATTTAAGGCAGGGGTCCCCAACCGCCGGTCCGCGGACCCGTACCCGTCCGC